GATAATTAACTGAACAGGGACCCTTCGTTTCGGATTTAAACTTGCAAAGAATCCTGCCGGCGAACGGAAGGTTTTTTTTCCCTTGGGGTGTTCGTACGCACTTGTGAAAAAAAAGAAGGGAAAAAGAAAGCAGGATCAATTATGCCTTTTTATTTATATATATATATACATAAATAAATATATGTCTTTTTTCCTTTTTCGTAGGCTTTTATGTGCATATTCTTTCTAGCCAGGTTTTACCTACGTAAACTAAGGGCTGTAGAACAACTTAGTTTACGTAGGTAAAACCTGGCTAGAAAGAATATGCATATATATATATATATATATATATATATATATATATATATATTGTTTATAGTCCTTTTTTTAGGATTGGTATTTCTGAAATAGAAATTATGGGTTTGTTTGTTTGTTTTAAAAAAAGGCAGATAAATACATAAAAGGATGACCCTCATCTCGTTTACCTAATTTTGCACCGTCGGACGGACTAAATATTTCATGGATTTCCACTCTGGAGACTGCTAGTATTTTAGGCTGTCTTTGGATGGCTACAAAAACCCTGAATGACAATTAAAAATTTAAAAGCCTCGGCAAAAGGACACACGGGCTGAATTTCGATTTGCTGGAGGCAGAGAGAGAGAGAAAGAAAGAGAGAGGGGGGAGGGAGGGAGGGAGAGAAAGAGAAAGAGGGGGAGAGAGAAAGAGAAAGAAAGAGTAAAAAAGGGATGGAGAGAGAGAGGAAGAAAGTGTGTGCGAGAGAGAGATGGAGAAAGAGAGATGGAGAGAGTGAGAGAGAAAGAGAGAGAGGGGGGAGGGAGGGAGAAAAAGAGAGAGAGAAAGAGAGGGAGGGAGATTGAGAGAGAGAGAGAAAGAGGGAGAGAAAGAGAGAGGAAAGGAGAGAGAAAAAGAAAGAGAGAGAAAGAGAGATGGAGAAAGTGAGAGAAAGAGTGTGTGAGAGAGATGGAGAGAGAGAGAGAGGGAAGGAGAGAGAGAGTGAGAGATAGAAAGACAGAGAGAGAGAAATATATAAAAGACGAAAAGAGCACCTGAAACAAGACTGGTTCTGCGCTTTAAACGGAAGTAAGAATCTCTCTCCAGTCTGGTTTTATAAATCAAATCCTGAATTTTGAGGATTATTTCGGTCAGATCTCGCACGCATTTCTCGACAGACCCACTTGAAACCACCTTTGTCCTTTGAATAAACCAGCATTAAAAATGACAAGCCAATCTTTCATCCCTCCTTTGCTTCGAGCAAGTCCCAGCCTCGGTTTCCCTCGCCAGCCAAGGGTTTACTGGTAGTCCTTGCTTAACGACCGGTTGCATAGCAAAGTTACAACAGAGCTCTCTCCGCTCCCCCCCCAAAAGCTACTTATGACCTACTTATCCAGAGTTGTGACGGCTGCACACCCACACAATCATATGACCCAATTTTGACTGCTTGGCAACCGGTTCACCTTTATGACGAGTTGCAGGTTCTGCAGTCAAGCATCTATGATTTATTGGTGGGATATTTTTATTTTTATTTTTATTTTTTTTGCAAGTTTCCAGCCATCTCCAGCAAAAGCCACCGTAGGGTTACACTGCGTTGCTTTACGAATGCCAGAATAAAAGCAAAAATCAGGTAGGTCTCGACTTACGACCGTCATAACCTGTGGCAGAAATGCCAGCTCATAAGTCGAGGAGGAGTCTCTGCATTTTGGGGCCAGACCACGAGAAACCGAAGCCCCCCCCTGCCCCCGTGCTTATCAAGAAGGGGAAGAGGACAAAGTCACCATGATGCTCCAGAGTGGGACAGTTAAGAAGAGCGGCATATAAATGTAATAAATAAAACGATAATTCCGATAAATGTCCCAACATCTTGCAATTCTCCTCTAATGGATCTCTGAAGGTTTTTTTTTTTTTAATAGCCCATGTTCCACACCTGACATCCCTTTCTTGGGGTCACCTGGGGGAGATAAGGGGAGGGGCCGGGGTGGAAAAAATTGGGGCAGAAACGACGATTTCCCCTCTTCGCCCCAAGCATTGAAAAGCGAAAGGGCCGGAGAGCTTGTCCTGCCACACCCGGACACCAGAGGGCAGCATTGCTCCTCGCACTCGCCTCTTGCTTGAAAAACTCCCCGAGTTGGCAAAACTGCCCCCCCACCAAGGTTTGCAAGAGACTGGATTTAACCCCCCCCCCACCCCTCCCTTACATTTCACGTGTACAGCACTCAGACGGGCAAGTTTTCCATCAGCGGAGAAGGTGGTCGATTCCTCTCCGGTCCTTTGACTCAGCCTGAGTGACTCAGACCCCCAAAATGGGGCAAATTGGGGGGGGGGGCGGAGAGCGATCCCCGCCCCAATTGCGGACGGGCTGGGGTCTTTGCCTCGCTAAACAGGCGCTTTCACACGTTCGCCAAAGGGCTGTTTGGGAAGCGGGAACAGCGGCCGATTGGGAAATCGCGCTTTCCCGGGGATTTCCCCGTCCTCCGAATCAGGAGCCCCACTTTTCCCAAGCCACGTTAGGCAGGGAACCCAAAGATCCCGTCCGAGTAAAACACGCTTGGCCCCATCCAGACGTGCAACCTTCCCGGGCACCCAGGATTTGCAAAAAAAAAAAAAAAAAAAACGGCCGTCACGGGTCTTGGAGGGACTACAAACCCCGCTTCCTAACCCTTCCCACCCGTTTGGTCGCATTCACACAACTCTGGAAGTCGAGCGAGGATTTATTCCCCCCCCCCGAGGTTTAAAGGGTCGTGTGAACGCGACAATTGCGTGTTCAGATCTTTAAATACAGCAAACGCTGCGTCTCCGAAGCGCTTCGTGACGCCTGGCTGGGGGAAAAAAAGACGCGTGTTGCGCAAACCCAAGCATCTGTTTCGGCGTCTAGCCCCGAGCGCAAACGCTGATTCGACAAGGCTAACCATGGTTAAGCGGGGCCAGGAGTTAAAATCGGGAGCCGGCAGCGAACGCGGGTGCTCCGTCCTCCGGGACGCTCCCTTGCACCCGTTACAACGGCTCCCCCGAACCGGCCGTCTGAAAAGCCCGCTTCGAAGCAGGGTCCCCGCCCCGGGTTCCACCGCTTGTTTCGGTCTCAATATGGACTTGCGGCGGGGAACAGACGTGGGAACGCGACCCACGGCTGTCCGGGAAGTTCGGCCCGGGTCCTCCCTCCACGTGGAACCGCCCGCCAGCCCGCCATCCAGGCCTCTTGCGGGATTCTTTCCCCCCCTCTTGTCCTTCCGAGCAGCTGGGTTCACACGACCCTGGTACACCGGCTCCTTTCAGACTTCGGTGTCTGGCGGGTCAGCAGCCGGGTTAAGCCTCGGCCGCTTCGGCGGGGCATTCAACCCCGCTCGGCTGGGTCGCTTGCGCGGACCGTGCAACTGGGGCTCCTCCGGGAACCAAAGCCCAGCGTCGTGTGAACGCGGCCGCTGGATTGGAAACACTTCGGGGCAGGGATCGGCGCCTCTACCCGGCGGTGTAGAGGACCCGAGTGTTCAGTCTCGGGGTGATTCGCACGAACGAGGGAACCTCGGCTACAACTGCAAGGGCCCAACGTTGACATTCCCTCTTTGCGCTCTCTATTTGCGCATCCTAAACCTATCCAGTCTCGCCTGCCCGCTTGCTCCGCTCCGAAACGAGCGCAGCAATTGTGCAACCTTCCCAAATCCAGAGATATTTTAATAAGATTTCATCCACCCACTCAAAAAAAATTTTTTTTTAAATGAAATGAAAAAAAAAAAAATTCCCCCCTCCGGTCGTAGCGCTTCTCCGGGCTCTTGGCGGCTCCGACGAGGCCCGGCCCGAACAGCTCAACTCCGCCGCGGAGGCTGCCCGGAGGAGGCAGCCGAGCCGGCTTCTCTCCGCCCCGGCGCCTCTCCCGGTTGAGCGGGCGGGCAAGGCGAGGGCCGCGGGCAGGTGCCTGGGCGAGAGGGCGGCCGCAGCCACGGGCTCAAAGGACGCCGCTTGGCCCGGGGAAGAGACGCCGAGGCTCGGCTTCGGCTCCCGGACGGGCCTGGCCGGCTTCCTTCCTCGGGGAGAAGGGAGAAGGGCCGCGGCCGGGCGGAGGATGCGCTGCCGCAGATCCATTCCCCGCTTTGCAAAAAGCGATCTTTGCAAAGCTTTCCACTCCATCGTCCCCTTTGCAAACCCCAATTATTATTATTTTTTTTAATAAAATAATCACAATACTAATAATATGCCCGGCTCGGTTTGCCCTGCCGGGTCCCCTTTGGCTCGGTTCAGACACTCTCGGATGTCCCCCACCCCCCCCTCCACCCGCCGCCCTTCTTCCTCGGCTTCTCCAGCCGCCTTCGCCCCGAAACGAAACTGCCCAGCCGGGCCGAGCAACGAGGCCGAAATGCCGCCAATGCAATTGAGACAGACAAGGAGGAACTGACAAGCCGGGCAGGTAAATAAATTAATAATAATAATAATAATAATAATAATAATAATAATAATAATAATAATAATAATAATAGTGATGATGATGATGATGATGATGATAATAATCCCCCTCCCCTCCAAACCAGCAACCGGCCCCGATCAACCAGCCAGCCTGCCTGCCTCCTGCCTTCCCTCCCTGCCCGGGCACCGCTGGGCACGGCCGGGGCTCCCTTCCTTCCCTTGCTCCCTTCCACCTGCCGCGCTTGGGGAGAGGAGAGGGGGGAGAGGCGGAAGGCAGAAGCCCGGCCAAGGCTGCGCGAAGAAGGGAAGAAGGGAAAGGGGGGGCGCAGCGTGGAAGGAAGGCAAAATCCCTCCCGGGGGGTCGAGAGAGGGATTTGGGGAGACGGATGTCTTGTGTCTCCCACCCACCCAAAAAAAAAAAAACAGGGGAAAAAAAAAAAAGGGCAATGCATGCAAAAGGTGCAAAAAAATCAGCAGCTGCTTCCTTCCACCCTCCCCAGAATTGCGCGCCCGCCCAAGCCGCTATCCTAAGCAGGGCCGGCGCAGAGAAGCATCCCCCCCGGGCCGGCGGGCCGTCGCAGTGCGAAGCGGAGCGCGAGAGAGCGAATCACCTGGTCGGCGCGCTTTCCTAGAAACTCCTTGCATCACCACTTCTAAGAACGCCAGTTCTAAGAATCAACACGGCTCAATTCTCGGAATTTGAGCTGGAGGCTCTACCACGCCGAGGAGCCCGGGGAGGGTCCGGGGGTGGGAAGGGTCCTTGGAAGCCCCGGAGAACCCCCGAAACCCCTCTTTGCCCCCGCTTCTCGAGCCTTTCCTGCCATCCCGTATCCAAGCCCGGTCGGGGAGACCCCTCGATCCCGGGATCCGGAGGTCGCCTGGAAATCCGAGCGGCCCGGACACCCCCGCGCCCAGTGGTACGTTCCTCCAGGGCCAAGTCACGTGGCGCTTTCCCTCCCGTGACGTCAGGGCTCGGCCTGGATACAATGTTGCAGAGTTCGATTCCCTCCTCCTTTTTTTTTTTTTTCTTCTCCCCCTCCCTCCTCGGAATTCTGAGAACTAATTTGCGAATTCGGTGACATAATAAGAGAAATCCGGGGATCCGGGCTCGTTCCTCGGGGCGGGGGGCGACTCCCACCCCCGACACCCTACACAGACCCCCCCCTCTCCCCATAAACTCTTCCCCCCCCTTTTATTTTTATTTTTTTTAAAAAAAACGACCCCCTCCCTTCTCCGGCTCCCGAGTGAGGGATGGGATCTCCGGGGGGGGGGTTGGAATTAGGCAGGTTTGGCGGAGTGGGGGGGGGCAGAGAAAGTTTGGATTCGTGTTCAGACAAGCAACTCCAGGCGCCGCCCGGAGAGAAAGCAGCGGCGGGGTGGGGTGGGGGGTGCGAGGGGGGGAGGGTTTTTTTTTTGCCCTTGGCGAGGGGGGGGGGTGAAAAGAAATCCGGATTTGCGCTTCAAGGAGGAAGGCAGGAAGCGAGGCGAGTCGGAGCGGCTTCTCACATTCAAAGAAACCCCCCCAAAGGAGGCGAAATGGGTCCCTCCCGTCTTTTTTCCACGCAGAGCGGGGCAGGAAAGAAAAGAAGCCCGACACGGGATCGGCCCCAGCTCCGGCGGCTGGGATTTTATTTGGGGGGGGGGGTTTCGCGTGTCGGGAGCCGCCTGCAGACGGACGAACGGACGGACGGAACCTGGAGACTTTGCTTTGCCTTGGAAGGTCGTGGGAACGGGGAGAGAAAGCGAGAAAGAAGCGGGTAAAGGGGCCAGATTTTCCTCCCCGGAGAAGGACGGTCGGGTTTCGGCTGGTCGGAGAGCGAAGCCCACCCCGGGAGAGAAGAGGCACCCCATCGTGGTGGTGGGACTTCCCGAAGGATTCGCGTGTCTTCTTCATCGCCCCGGACGGGACACCCCATGATCCCACCCCGCAAGGGACAAGTCTCCGCCGCCGCACCCCGCTTTTGCAGAGAGAGTGGGATCTGGTAGTAGGGAGGGGGACGCAAGAGCGAAGCAGGCCGGAGCAACGACCGGCCTTTCTGGAAGCCTCGCCCCGCGTTTTTATGGGGCGCCGGGTGAGGAGGAGGAGGAGGAAGAGGGGATAGCCGTGCCGTGTGCCAGGCATTGGAAGGGCGGACGGGGCACGGATGGATGGCCTCTATGGCGTTTGGAGGACGGTGAGCCCTTAAGGTAATGCCAAAGGGACTTGGGGCGGGGGGGCTGCTCAGACACTTTCGGGGGGGGGTCACTGACCCTCTTTGCAACGTGGGGATGGGTGAGTTCCTTTGCAAGAGGGGCAGCCCGAGGGGGGCAGCTCGGGGGTCTTGTGGGGGGGTTGGCAGAGATGGGAACCTGGGAAAGAAGGAGCACCCCTTTTCCTAACTCCTTCTGCTTCCCCCCCCCGGGCAAGAGTGGGGAGCCGCCCGCGTCCTCGCCTGCCCCTTGAGCCGGGCTCGGCCGCACGTCGGAATCCGGACCTTTCGGGCTTGTTTGTTTATTTAGGGGACGGTCAGCCGCTTCATTGTTGCGAGATGATGGGAAGATCTAAAAATAACTCGGCGACTTCCCCTCCCATGCCGGGCAGAAGGGGGGAAGGGAGGCAGGGGGGAAGGCAGGGAGGGGCGCCCCGAGTAGGGACCAGGGCCGGAGTCCCGAGGGGGTCGCTGGTTTGGAGGGGTGGGCAGGGGGGCCCCGCAGCCCTGGCTTGGAGAGGGGAGGGGCGGTGGGGGGGGAAGGAATAGAGAAAGTGTTGGTTTTTTTTTTTATATATATATATATTATTATTTTCAGCCCAGATCAAAACTCTCAGGAACCACGGCGGCTCCTTTCTTCGCCGGCCGGCCGTTTCGGAGAAGGCGGTTAAAAATAAACGGGTGATTCAGGGAGCAAATTTCCCCCAGATTTGCTGAAAGGGTGAATTTAGGAGGAACTCCTAGGAGGACTTAAAATATTGTAGAGAGAGGGAGATTCTCCTAATAAATGTGTATATTAGGAGAATCTCTCCATATATTTTAAGTCCTCCTAAGAGTTCCTCCAAAAGTCAGCCTCTCAACAAATTTAAGAGTTCTTGCTAAATTTATCTATATATATCCATATATCCATGTATGTATGTAGCCGCCTTGAGTCTTCGGAGAAAGGCGGCATACAAGTTGAACAAATAAAATAAATAAATAAATAAATATGTATGTATGTATGTGTGCATGCATATGTGTGTACATACATGCATATATACATATATATATATACACACACATATATATACATATACATATATATTAATATGTAGCAGATAAAGTATATAGATTATATTTATATAAAATTATATTTATATAATATTTATATAAAAAGAACACACACACACATATATATATACAAATCAAATATATACAATATGATCTCATACATATGTTTATATACATATATATATATATAATATAAATGAAAAGTATATATTAATAGATCCTCCATATGTGTGTGTGTGTAGATATAGATATATAATTTTAGATCTAAAATGTGTACGTAGGGAGTTCATGTAAATATATTTATCATATCTATGTATCGTCTCTCTCTGTCTATCATCTATCTGTGTTTATGTGTGTGAATAATGTGTTTATTAGGGTTGCAAATCTGATTGCATGAGATCTGTAGATGCCATACATAAATAATCTATCATCCATTCATTATGCTCTCTATCATCTTTCCTTCCGTCTGTCTCTGTCTCTCATCTATTATCTATCTATCTATCTGTCTATCTATCTATCATCTATCTTCTGTCTATCATCCATCTATCTATCTATCTATCTATCTATCTATCTATCTATCTATCTATCTATCTATATCATTCTCTCTGTCTCTCTCTTCTCCCTGTATCTGTGGATATTTACACGAAACCCATTAATCGTTGTTTGCCTAGGCAGGCTTAGATAGCTAGAGGATGCTACTTATTCTGATTTTTCCGCAAATGGCCATTTTTATTCAACTCCACATCTCAAAGTGGCTGTTTGCTTTTTGTGTTTCTCTCTGCCGGGGCCCTAACGAACAACATGCATATAAGAGCCTCCATTTCTTGGGCAGGATGCAAAAATGGCATCTGACTTTGGGCTTCCCAAAAGCTTTCCCATCCATTCTTAAACCTCCAGATAAACCGACTTAAACGTTATGGTGTGCTTTTCGGTCACGAAAACAACCCGAATGGAAAAAGCAAAATTTATCGTAATTTCATAATGCCAAAATGAAACAAACAAAAAAACCCGGCCTGCTTTTTAAATTTTTATTTTACCCGTAGATAAAATATCTATCCATTTTTTTATGACTTAATATATATATATATTACAGAGTATGATTCCTGAATCGACTGTCATTTGAAAGCAAATATCGACGAAGAACAATGAGTATTATTACTCAAAAAAAAAAAACTCTAGATGATGAGAGCCATTGGCCCAAACTTGAATTTTGGGCTTCCCCACTGCCAGGAGACAGGAAATTGTCAGCCAGGCTGACTCAAGAAATCTCGTCTGCATTTTCTCTTTCTCTGTCTTTGTTCTGCCCATGTTTGATCTCAGCCACTGAAGCACAGTTGGGCCCTGTTAAGCCTCGGATGTGGCACCACCAGGAAATCCCACCGCCCGTGGCTAGAGGAGGGCTTGTAAAAAATGTCCCAGAGAAAAGGAGACAGAAATATTATCTGTTTCTGCTTTGGTGCCAGGAAGTTTGCCCAGTCACTAGCTGTGTCCAGCTCAAATTGCAGAACTCTGCAATCTGCGGAACTCTTGAGTGCCCGTCCCTCGAAATCCCCAGCTGACGTGGGATTCTCGTTTGCAATACTGGCATTTCTATTTATTTAACTTTTATGCTGCCTTTATTATTTTTTACAAATAAGGCAGAAAATAACAACAACAACCCTGTGAGGTGGGCTGGGGTGAGAGAGAGAGAGAGGGACTGGCCCAAAGTCACCCAGTCAGATTTCATGTCTTAAGGTGGGACTAGAACTCACCATCTCCTGGTGATTGGCCAAAGTCACCCTGCTGACTTTCATGGCTAAGGCGGGACTAGAACTCACCGTCTCCTGTTGATTGGCCCAAATTCACCCAGTTGGCTTTCCTGACTAAGGCAGGACTAGAACTCACCATCTCCTGGTGATTGGCCCAAAGTCACCCAGTCAGATTTCATGTCTTAAGGTGGGACTAGAACTCACCATCTCCTGGTGATTGTCCAAAGTCACCCAGCTGACTTTCATGGCTAAGGCGGGACTAGAACTCACTGTCTCCTGGTGATTGGCTCAAAGTCACCCACTTGGCTTTCCTGACTAAGGCGGGACTAGAACTCCCCGTCTCCTGGTGATTGGCCCAAAGTCATCCAGCTGGCTTTCATGGTTAAGGCAGGACTTGAACTCATGGTCTCCTGCTTTTTTCATCCCCTCTCCCTTCCCAGCCCCTGGACTTTCCCTTCTCATGGGATCCGTTTAAGTGTTGGAAGGGAAGGCCTGAGAAACAATTCCTAAGCAGGCCAGAGGGGGCCCCAGAGAGCAATTGGAAAACTTGTTATGGACTTTTTCGATCCAATCAATCTCCACCTAAGAGCAGTTTCCGTATTCCTTGCAAGTAATCCAGCAACGAGATCTGAGATCCTGGCATATGATTCCAACTCTAAATTAAGTCTCCTGAAGGACAGTTGGAGGATCTGTCATCTGCCTGGTGCTTCAGAGGGTGGAATCGTGGAATTGAGTAAAATAACAAAATAGGTTTTGCAAACTCTGGCCCCAATAAAAAGCTTTTCTTTCCATTCTTAACCGTAAACCTCCAGATAAGCCAATTTACCGTAATTATGTGCACTTTGGTCAGGAAAACAAGCCGAAGGGGGGAGAAAAAAGCCAAAATGTCATCATTTCAAGTGAAAAACTGCCTGCTTTTTCAATTTTAATTTTACCCATAGATAAAATGTCTGCCTATTGTTTTTATAATTTAAAAAAAAAAAAACCATTGCAAAGTATGATTCCTGTCATTAACTGTCATTTGAAAGCAAATATTGATGAAGAACGATTATTATTATTATTATTATTGAGAAAAACTAGATGATGGGGACGATTGCCCAAAACTCTGAAATATTATTATTATTATTATTATTATTATTATTATTATTATTATTATTACTACTACTACTACTACTACTACTACACAGAACATCTCCAAATGCCATGTTAATTATATATAATTACATAATATCATATATATAATATTAATATTATATATTATATATATTTGGCATGGCTTTTAGAGGAAAACCCAGATTCTCTTAATACCCACGTTACTAATTTAACAACGGCATTTATTCACTTAACAGCTGTGTCCAGAAAGTTCGTAAAATGGGACAAAATTCACTTTAACTGTCTTGCTAAGCAACAGCAATTTTGGACTAAGTCGTGCTTTGTAAAGTCAAGGACTGCCTGTATACGTAATTTAATTTGGGCCCAAATTAATTTAAGCTTCAAAATTTTATTTCAATCGTATTTATAGCTATTAATCTGGCACAAAAGAGCTTCCATTTTCCGTCACCTTCTTCTAAAACCCGAGCTTTGCAAACGCTCTAGAGCAATATTTTAGATTTGGCTATCGCCTCGCTGCTGCCTATTTTGTAAGATGAGACTCTGAATCGAGTTTGATTTGATATTACTTATTTATTTCCTGTTTCTTAAGCCCCCATCTCCGGCTGCAAGGTCCCCTGGGTGGTATAACATGTATTCAATATAAAAACGACATAAAACAGTCATATTCAAATGTTAAAATTAATTTAACGTTCAAAATTGTATTTAAATTGTTTTTTTTTTTTCTTAATTTCTTTTCTATGGTTTTTATTATAAACCATCCGGAGAGGTTTGAATTATGTGGGGAAAGCAAAGATAGCAGTTAGCCTGGCTTGCAGAACTTAAATTTGTCTCCTTGTTTTTAACAATCTCCTTCTAAAATTCAAGCTTTGCAAATGCTCCGGTCCTCCACGATGTTTATGGATCTATTCCCAAACATTCACTTCCATTGATTGGATAGAACTGAATCCCGATTAAATGCTGGTCTTCCAAGCCCTTCCCTCAATAAAATGCACCTCAGATGACCCAGGAGACAGGGGGGAAAAAATCACAGGCCAAATTATCCCGGGATAAATCATATAAACAATTTATAACAATATTATATATATAT